TGATTACTCTTCCCTAAATCCCTTCTCAGGTTTTTAAGACCCCAAGCTAGACACATTATGTTAATAAAGGCTTGATTAAAGCTGAGAGTAATTAGAGGATTAAGTATAATTCCTACATTCTATTATCTTATTTATAGAACTTGATGGCAGGCTCTAAATTTTAACAGCAAGTGCTATGTTTAAAACTTAAACTGACATTCCTTCTGACTTTGACACATTTTAGCATTTTTTATTTAAATCTAATATTGCAATTACTCATATATTTCAACTCTTACCTTCCACTATATGTGTCATACATTTAAAAAGTAATTATATATAAAATTGTTTGGACTTCTTCAATATTATTTCATCCCCCAGAAAATCTACCTAAATTGTTTATGACTTCCATTAATGTTTTATACTATGAAACCTGCCGATATCAAGAAATAATACATGATAATTCTTGTTTTAAACTTTCTAAAAATGTAATTATGATGTCTTTCTGTACCTTGTGTTAATTATTTGGATATATATTTCATTCCCTGTGTGGTATTTTGTCATGACTATCAACGACTCCTGTTATTGCTGTTTTATGGCAGAATGAGTGACAACTATGGGTTTTTTTTTTTTTTTTTTTTTTTGCTACTGCAAATTGTTCCACAATGCGTTCTTTCACATGCCCTCATGTGCACCTGTGGAATTTCCTCGAGGGCTATGCTGAGGAGACAAAGCACAGAGTTTAAGGACATCCATGTATTGACTTTGTATAGACCACCAAATTGTTCTTCAGCAGAGTTCTGTCAATTCAGTCCCCACCAGCAGGGCTCAAAGCTCTTCTTTTTGCATTCTTACTAAAGTGCAAAGCTATCTCACTTTCTGAGTTTTCTTAACTGGATGATTATGGAATGAAATTTAACAGGTTTTTGTACTTCTCTGATTACTAATTATGGGTGCGCGGCTTTCGCGGAGCCCCAGCTGCTGGCTGGCGCCTGTCTCTGGGACGCCGCTGGGGCGGTCTGGCCCGCCGCATTGCTGAGGGTCTCCACGGCTACTGGACGCTGGCGACTCTACTGGTCACTGCGCTTCCAGGCGAGTTCTGTTCCAAACTACCGTGCACTCCCTCTAGGTTCGAGATCTGCAGGCCGGGTCACGAGGGCAGGTTTGGGAACGGTGAAAGCAGGGTCTTCCTGAGTCGTTGTTTAGGAAGAGACAGCCCCCTCCGGGGAGATGCAGGATTCAATGATACAGCTTCAGACACAGCTTCTGATGCAACTCTGATTTATTAAGGGGAAACCAGGATATTTATACTGTGGGGGGTAGTAGCAAAAGCCTTAATTGATAGGTGCTTTGTAGGATGCCTCATTTACATGTGGTGGTGGGCTTCTGCCAGGCTGTCAGACAATGCCTGATTATCACACAGGAAAACCTGGCAGTTTCATGCTGAAGGACATGTGTCTGTGACAGGCCCTTCAAAAGGTGAGTCAGGAAGAGAGCAGGAAGGTGCCCCGCTGAGAAAAGGAGTCTCTGCATAAGAACGCCAAGCTGGCCTGCGGCTATCTGGACATGGAGAGACTGATACTTTAGACAGCAGGGGTCCCCAACATCTCCCCCTCTTTGATTTAAAAATGAAGAAGTGTCATCACAAGCCCTAAGGGCCAACTCATCTTTATCTCGGGAGAATCCAAAGTCTGATAATTGACCATGACCTGTTTTGTAGTGATTTTAACAGTAGGATTTTCTATTTTCTTTCTTTTTTTTTTTTTACAAATTTCCCATATTAATCTTTGGTTAATTTGTGGCAAATACCTTCCCTTAGTGCATGTATTGCATTTTTAACTCTGTATGATATCTTTTATTTAAAAAAAAATAAATAACACATGTGTTTTCTATCTAAGAAATATTAGAAACAAGAATTTTGTTACACTCATAGCTTAAAAAGTTCAGTATACACACTCATTGCCCCCCACACATTCAGTATGTGCATGTGTGGTGTGCCCTTTGCCCTAAATTGATCAGCAAGAAGATAGGAGAAAAGTCATCATAATATGAAAAATGTTGTAGACATTGAGAAAACCAAAGCCACCTATGTTCCTCCTTCTGAGCTACATCTGTGCCCTTCTTTTCTGTGCCCTCACATCTACAAACTTAGTTCTAACAAGGAAATTGATTTTAAAATCAATGTAGATGAGCCAAAAAAAGAATTACAAACATGGATGTTAAGACCTGAATTCTCACAGTGATTATGGGAATCTTAGGGTTTGTCTATCAGTATAGTATTGACTCACTACTCTGTGCAAATTTCCCTGTCAAAGAACCTTCACATTGTGAGAACATGTAGAATATGCTCAATAAGTTCAGGATAATTAGTTCATACAAATTATTACTATTACAGACATGCTTGCTGAGATATCAGCAATGTCTCGATTTTATAACTTTCAAAGTGGTATCAAGTAATATTATAGCTGAGTATTGTGGATTTTTTTTCCTTTTTCATTTTTTTTTCAATCATTGTAGGCTACAAGATCATAATGACCCATACTAAGGGGTATAGACACTGTGGGGTGTGGTCTTAATTACTCTGCCAAATAGTCTTAGTTGGTAAAGGTTATTAAAAATCCTTCCCCCCAAAATTAGCTTTTGGTACAATATTGTGAATTTAAATTTTATTTTTAAAAATTATTTATTTAATAAACACATTGTTAGAAGTTTTTAATTATAGCATTAACATATTGAATAACAATTTCCAGAGCAAAGAAGCATCTCTTTCAAAATTGGAGGTGAATTTTTGGGTTCACAGTTGAATAAATACAGTTATACTATATTGAACTCAGTATAAAACCTATAAGACATAAAATTGAATGAGGTTTTAGCCTTCAAAAAAGATCCATTTCATTTTAGAATATACTGTTTCATACATAAAAACTCATTTTTAATGCTACTAACACTTAGATGTTTGCACAGGCATCTCTAATATAAATGAAATATCACTTAGATGTTTGCACATGTGTCTAATCACAGTTGGTTACTTTCTGAGATACTTGGTACCTGAGCATGGACATAAAGTCATTGGGTAAGATTTCAATGATAATGTGTTTCACCTCTACTAATTAACATGAAGCAAATTTTTATGCTTCTTCCTCAAATATAACTCATTTTTTTTAACTTGTTGACTTTTTTGTGTGTATTTCATACAGAACATCCCAAAAAATCTTATTCATCCCAAATGGCACCCTCCCATAATCTCCCTCCCCAAGCCCCCATTGGAGCCCATATATTCTGTCATCCCTGTTACTGTCCACTGTGCTGTCGGACCCCCTAGCTGTTCTCCAGTGCTTGTCCATCTGCTGAATCTAGTCAGGCTATCTAGAGTTCCTTGTTTTAGGAAGGTCAACCTTCCTCACCTAGCAGCAATCAGTTGCCAATATTCCTTTAGGTAAGACTGGGATCTGCTGTTCATTTTCACAGTTCTATGCTGGGTTACTGTCTGGGAGTCTCTTGGGTCACCCTGGCCAAAAACTCAAAGGAAGATATTTCCCATCTGGCATTGTTTCTTGTTATGTAGCTTTTACCTATACACATGGACTCTTAAAGAGTGATATTGATCCCTTTAATTTTTGGTTATACTTTCCTTTAGGGTATTTAAGACCATACAGTTTGTCCAGATAAACCAATTTATTTTTACTCTTAAGGTCATTTGAGAATCTGTTCCTCAGGGGTCATAGGAGCCCCTAGCTCCTTTTTACTTTTTCTTTTTCTTTTTTTTTTCACTAGTTATATCTATGTGAAGATAAGTCAAAGATCCTACTGAACTGTGGCTGGCTTCACTTGGAAGCATGGAAGAAATGTTTCCTCTGTGTTGATCCTCTTCTTTGTAGACTGGACACTGGTTCAGGTCCATTTGGTGGGATCTCCATGGCCTCCTTCACTGAGAGAACAGGTGACACACCACAGTTACAGGACATTTTGAGAGATGCTCATAGTTCCCTGGAACTTAGTCCACCTAGGAGGGCAAGGAGAAAAAACTGTCCTTTATGCCCCTCTGACCAAATTAGTATAGGCCTCAAAGTACCAAAAGTTCTCAGATAAACCTTGATTAGACATGTATTATATTCCTTGATCTAGTTGTAGGTATAATTTGTCAGTAGGTTGTTCGATTAATATGATTACCTCTAGTTATTTTAAAACTAGCTACTCATTATTTAATCTCTTGCATCGTCTAACCCTTCCACCATGGTTTCCCATTTAAGGTGCCCCCATTTTTCCCACTTCTCCCTTAATAATACCCTTTTCCTACGGTCCCACCTCTCTTGAGCACCTTCTTTCCCTTTATCCCCAAGGTTCCTGTATAACCCTCCCTCACCTTCCCCTTAAAATAATCCCATTTTTATCCATATCTCCCTTATAACTCCTGTTTCCTACTGTTCTTCTCTTTCAGATTCTTTCTTTTACTTTTCCTCCCTGGTTCCTTTTCATTCTCCTGGTTCCTGTAGTTATGTCTGTATACATACTCGCTTATAAGGATTTGGCCCTAGGATCCACACATGAAGGAGAACATATATAGTTTTTTGGTTTTTATCCCTGAGTCTGTGTTACTTCACTTAGTATAACAGTTTCTAGTTCCATCCATTTACCTGAAAATTTCATGATTTCATCTTTCTTTACTGCTGCATAAAACTCCAACATATAAATGAACCATATTTTCACTATCCACTCATCAGTTGAAGGACACTTAGCTTGCTTCCACCATCTCTTAGCTATTGTGAAAAGGGCAGCAACAAACATGGATGTACAACTGTCTCTGCAATAGGATGAGTTCTTTGGGTATATGCCAAGGAGTGGTATGGCTGGGTTAAATGGTAGGTTCATTTGTAGTTTTTACAGAGTTCTTCACACGGATTTCCATAGAGATTGAACAAGCTTGCAATCACACCAGAAGTGGATGAGCATTCCCCTTTCCCAATATCATCTCCAACATTTGGTATCATTTGTTCTCTTGATCTTAGCCAGCCTGATTGGGGTAAGATGAAATCTTAAAGTGGTTTTAATTTGCATTTCCCTAATTATTAATGATGTTGGACACCTTTTAAGACACTTCCTAACTGTGTTTATTCCTTCTTTGGAGAACTCTCTGTTCAACTCCTTAGCCCATCTTTTACTTCAGTTACTTCCTTTCTTGATTCTCTGTTTTTGACTTTGTTATATATTCTGTATGCTAAACCTCTCTCAGATGTGTCACTGCTGAAGATTTTGTCCCATTCTGTGGGTTTTCTCTTCATTTCCTTGGTTGCTTCTTTTGACATATAGAAGCCTTTTAGTTTAAATAGGCCCCATTTGTTGATTTTTGACCTCGTTTCCTGAGCAATTGATGTCCGGTATAGAATATCCTTTCCTACACCTATATCTTGTAGGTTATTGCCAATGTTTTCTTCTAACAGCTTCAGAGTTTCAGGCTTCACATTGAGGTCTTTGATCCATTTGGAGTTGACATTTGTGCAAGACGAAAGATAGGGGTTTAGTTTCATTCTTCTACAGGTGGAGATCCAGTTTTGTGAGGATCATTTGCTGAACATGATGTCTTTCCTCCAGTGAATGTTCTTGGCCCCTTTGTCAAATATCAGGTGGCTGAAATTGGATTTACTCATATTTGGGTCTTCAACTTTGTTCCATTGATCTCTGCATCTATTTTTGTGCCAGTACCATGCTATTTTTAGGAATATAGCTTTGTAATACAGTTTAATATCTGGTATAGTAATGCCCCAGTATTGTTCTTAGTGCTCAGGGTTGCTTTGGCTATCCGAGTTCTTTTGTGCTTCCATATGAATCTTAAGAAGGTTTCACCAACTCTGTGAAAAATGTCCTGCTGATTTTGATTTGCATCGCCTTGAATCTATATATGGCTTTTGGTAGGGTGGTCATTTTCACAATATTAATTCTTCCAATCCATGAGCACGGGCGGTCCTTCCATCTTCTGATGTCTTCCTCAATCTCTTTCTTTAAATATTTAAAATTTTCATTGTAGAGCTCTTTAATGTCTTTGGTCAGGTTTATTCTGAGATATTTTATTATTTTTTTGAAGCTATTGTGAAGGGGAATGTTTCCATTTACTCATTCTCTGATTGCTTGTTATTGACATGTAGAAAGGCTACAGACTTTCGTAGATTAATTTTGTAACCTGCCACTTTACTGAACATGGTAATAATTTCTAGGAGTTTCCTGGTGGAATTTTTGGCATCTCTTATTTATAATATCATATCATCTGAAAAAGGGATAATTTGATCTCTCCTTTCCAATTATTACTCCTTTAATTTCTTTCTCTTGTCTTATTGCTCTTGCAAGAGTTTGAGGCACTATGTTAAAGAGGAGTGGAGATAGTAGACATCCTTGTCTTGTTCCTGATTTTAACGGGAATGCTTCCACTTTTTCTCCATTTAGAATGGTGTTGGCTGTGGTTTTGTTATATATGACTTTAATTATGTTGAGGTATGTTCCTCCAGTCCAACTCTCTAGGTCTTTGAACATAAAAGCATGTTGAATTTTGTCAAAGGCTTTCTCTTCATCTATTGAGATGACCATGTGGTTCTTGTCTTTGAGCCCACTTGTATGATTAATGATGTTTATTGACTTGCGTATATTGAACCATCCCTGCACCTCTGGAATAAACCTACATGATCATGGTGAATGATCTTTGTAATGTACAACTCTATGTGGTTTGCTAGTATTTTGTTGAGTATTTTTGCATCTATGTTCATTAAGTATATGGGTCTATAGTTTTGTTTTTTGGTTGTATCTTTACCTGGATTTGATATTAGAGTGATGCTGGCTCCATAGAAGGAATTTGGAAGTTCTCCCTCCATTTCTATTTTATTGAATAAATTAAGTAGTATTGGATGTAGATATTCTTTAAATGCCTGATAGAATTCTGCTGTGAATCCATCTTGTGCTGGGCTTTTTTTAGTCAGGAGATTTTGTATTTCTTTTTCAATTTCCTTATGTGTTATGGGTCTGTTTATGCTGTTGATGTCTTCTTGCTTAATTTTTGGTGGTTCCCTTGCTTTTAAACACGCATCCATTTTTTTTTTTAGGTTTTCAAATTTAGTAGCATATAGGTTTTTAAAGTATTCCCTTATAATGCTCTGGATCTTTTTGACGTCTGTTGCAATGTTTCCCCTTTCATCTCTAATTTGGTGATTTTGAGGTACTCTTTCTTTCTTTGGGTTAACTGGGCTTGAGGTCTGTCAATCTTGTTTATCTTTTCAAAGAACCAGCTCTCCGATTCATTGATTCTTTGTATTGTTTTCTTTGTTTCTATTTCATTAACTTCTGCTCTGATTTTTGTTATTTCTGCTTGAATGCTGGGGTTGGATTTCATTTGTTGTTGCCTTTCAAGTGTCTCGAGCTGCAATATTAAGCCATTCATTTGTTTATTTGTTAAGCCATTTATTGTATTTGGGTTTTTTAAATGCCTTTTTAGTCAGGGTCTCCTTGTAGTCCCAGCACATTTGGACTAAGTATGTAGACCAGGCGGGTCTTGAACTCACAGCGATCCACCTGCCTCTGCCTCCCGAGTGCTGGGACAAAAGGCATGCACCATCACTCCCAGCACGATTATTTTAAAAACTCATGCTGGTCACTGAACGTTTATCC